TATCATGTATCTACCATGTGAAACTTATTTGAGTTACTGTTCCTATTTATCTGGGAGACAGATAATGGTGACTACACACAACTGAGTTTTCTGTCAATGTATTAGAAAGAGTACAGGACTACTTTAGAGATTGATGAGTATTAAATTGCAGCAACATAAGATTTTTTAAAATGTAGAAGGAACATGGAGATTTATATTTGTGGTGAATTTCATGCCAGAGCAAATGGATGAAAAGTTGGTTTCTTTTCTTTCTAGAAATCTAAGAAAAATTGGTGACATTCTGAATTAAGAAAAACAATCCAGCTAAGAATACTTTCTCACAGTTAGAAAATTTCTTGTTTATTCATGTTTTTAATGTCTATGAATGTTTAATGTAAATGTTTTGCATTTTAGATATAATTAAAGAACAAAATAAAGAATTAAGAGGTACGCAGAGGGCTATAGGAAGAGATCGAGCAGCTTTGGAGAGACAAGAAAAGCAATTGGTAAGTGTATCAAATAACTAGTTCGTTGTTTACAGTACGAGACCATTAGTAAAATGATATTTTTCTATTCTAAAGTATTCAAGTACAAATTAATCAATTACTGTAAATGTTTCTATTATAATACTTACATTGATAATTGATAAAATACAAATGCAAATAAAGTTCAAAATCAGCATTTTTTTTCAATTAATAGGAATTGGAAATAAAGAAAATGGCTAAAACAGGAAACAAAGAAGCCTGTAAGGTTCTAGCAAAACAGCTTGTGCAGTTGAGAAAACAGAAAACTCGGACCTACGCTGTTAGCTCAAAAGTTACATCCATGTCAACTCAGACAAAACTGATGAATTCCCAGATGAAGATGGCAGGAGCAATGTCAACAACAGCAAAAGTAGGCAATTGATTTTAACTAACCCAAGTAGTGGGAGTCAGGTAGTTAAGAAAAAACCCTGTCTGAAAATTTAGTGTGGTATTTTTTAATCTTTTTCATCTCAGAGTACACATGCTATAGTCAGGACTTTAGGTCACAAAACCAAAGGGCCTTTGACATCACAGGTTTCTGGGACCCAGAAAGAAAAATGGAAGCAATTTACCACTGTGATGTAATGGAAGTGGGATTCTGGCTATGCTGCTGCACAGCGGCGGCACAGCACTTTCTGTTGTTTATTTTGGCTTGCTGAATCAGCATGCCAGCTAACCTTTTGTGGCACACAAATATGCCGTGGCACAGCATTTGAAAACTGTTGATCTAAATTCTAGAGCATTTTGATTGATTAGAACTAATTAGTACAGAAAACAATTGCCTAATAAGTTTAAGGCAATTTTTTCAGCTAGCCACTAATTAAAAAATCTAAAACATTTCTGACTTTTGGCTGTTCCATTACTTTGTAAGACCTTTATAATAAAAATATTATGCAAACTCATGCCACAATGTCTCCATTAATGTATAATATGGGCTGGCATTACAGAAACCATCCTTAAACTTGCCATTTTCCAGCTCCTGAACAAACAATATTTATTCTTATACATACTTGAAACAAGTCAACCATCAGCCATTGTTTGAAGCTGGCTTGTTTCAGTAACCATAATTAAAATTAAATACAATGTGTATAATCAAAGTGAATTTCTGCCCCAGAAAAAATACACAAAGAAGGTGTTTGATGAATCCAGTATTTGATCAGGTAATATTAGGCTTTGACATTAATTAGATTACTAATTAATTAGATTACACCTTGATTACAGTGCAGCACTTTAAAAAATGTCAAACTTGATCAGGCCAGTAAAGATGTTCAGAGTCTGGAAACAAAATCATGTTTAAAAGAAAAGAAAAGGAAGGAAATGTATTGTTTTGCCATGAAACATGATAAGTCTATGAGAATATGCTAACATTCTCATATGCCTGAAGTGATGTCACAAGGAAAAAGGCCATGACCTGTTCTCAAACATCCTAGTAGAAGGATATGGAATGATAGCCCTCAATTCAGGGCAACAGATTCCAGATGGATGCTCGGAAAACTTCCTGCCAATAAGAGCAGTAAAGTCAGTACCTTAAGGAGAAAGCAAGTTCTTTGCTGAATAAGAGGCTTAAATGGACATTTGTCAGGCATATTTTAATCTGAATGTGTCTACTGAATAAATATTGGACTTTGTGGCTCTTAGCCTATTCCAAATTTGTGAATCTGTAGTTCTAATGTATTATTAGACCAAGCCAAATCAAAATTAGACATAATATTAAAATATGGTTTGCAGATAGCTTGGTTCTAACAACTCTTTATGATGATAAAACTTGGATTACAAACAAGATAAGAATTTTCTTATTTTAAATATATAAAATTGCAATGGTGGTGTGATTCTTATAAAATATTAGACTACAATATGTTTGAATATGAAATGACCTTCTCTCTGTTCTGGTAGACAATGCTGGCTGTCAATAAAAAGATGGATCCACAGAAGACATTGCAAACTATGCAGAATTTCCAGAAAGAAAACATGAAAATGGAAATGACCGAAGAAATGAGTAAGCTGTTCTTTTCATATTATGCTAAATCTTTTTCTTAGTTCTCCTTTAGGCTTGTGATATAATTAATTTCATAGATTTTAAACTAGTTTTGATTGAAGTTACTAAACATCAATGGCTTGGAAAAGAATGACAACTTTCTGGGAAAGATTTATGCAGCACGTTGAAATGAAATCTTTCACTGCTCATTCAGGAGGTGAAATAACTGAAAGTATGTTCCTGACATTAGTTTTAAAAATTATGTGACGTAATAGTGAAAAGTTATGCTGAAATTGTCTAGTTACTATCCTCAGTCTTGGCTTTGATTTCTCTTTCAAGTCAATGATACCCTAGATGATATCTTCAATGATTCTGATGAAGAACAAGAAAGCCAGGATATTGTTAACCAAGTTCTTGATGAAATTGGAATTGAAATATCTGGAAAGGTAGGAAGAAATGTCATTCTCCTCCCCATTTTAATTTACTTTGTAATAGTCTTTTTGGATGTATGCTTGCAGTTGATGACTGTTATCATGGTTACATAAATTAAACTTTTTGTATTATTTTTCTTTTATTAGATGGCAAAGGCTCCTTCAGCTGCGATAGGCATGCCGTCTGCATCTACATCAAAAAATGCTACAATTTCAGATGAAGAGATTGAGCGGCAGCTTAAAGCTTTAGGAGTAGATTAGCTTTATGCTAATAGTAAGCCTGATTTCTACAGCTGCTCCAACATTGGCATATGCACAAACCTCCAATACAGGTTTCAATAAAAAACCCAGATTTCATCGCAAATCTTGCCTAAGCCATTATTGCTAATGGTAATTTCTAAAGACAGCTGGAAGAACTAAACGTGAGAGACAGAAAACAGAACAAATTTATGTGATGAAGAATTTGTATATGTTTAATTAAATTGGGATATTTTGTTAACAGGCCATTTATTATATATGGTTTAAATTTTGATTTCTTCAGTTTAATTTTGGACAAAATGTATTTAGCTTGATAACTCTTCCATTCATCTTTAGATTTCTACATTTTGTAAATTATTACAAGCAGCCTTTCTGAAAGCATTTCAGCTGTGTTTTAATTGTAAACAGTTCTTAAGAAATAACATGAGTTAAAATGCAACCTTGTTTTCTCGGAGTTGGAAAAAACAGTTGTCATCTTCAGTAGAATGATTATAAAATTTTCAATAAACATTTAGGTAATCTTTTGTTAAATACTTTTTAACAATTTATTCTAGTTCAATTTAATGTTAAAATGATACATATGTTTCCATTATAGGTTCTGGAATAGTATTGATACTCAATTAGTGGAACTTCTGGAGACAGGACTGTGGTCTAAAATAATTTTCTGTTAGCAAAAAATGTTGGAAAGGAAAATATTGAATAATTTCCATTGTACTGTAATATAGCTGACTTGAAGAGTTTGTGCCTTTGTATATATAATGCTTGGTTTCTTTTAATTAAGTTTTGAATTGTGGGAAAAATAATTTAAGCCATTAACTTATGTTAGCACTGAAACTATGTGAACTCCATGATTGGTATGGAGTAGGTAACACCTGAAAAAGATAACCTTTTTCCTGCATTAGCATTTGTACATAAATACCATGCAGCATTTTTCATTAAACAAATGTTACTTTTCCAAATATCCTTTATTGTCCAATATAAAATGCTCTATATCCATTTTTACACTTGAATATTATACACTGGTTTAACTGAAGTTAATGAATTTATTTGAATTTGCATCTAATATGGTTAAATAACATGTATTAAAGTACAAATAATTTACTTGAACTGTGTAGCAATAGAAGAGCAGGTTGTAAGAGTATTTTGTATTTTTTCAAACTGCAGTGCAGACTTCACACTGTGCAAAGGATGAGTCAATGAATGATATAACAAAATTGTTGAGGCTATATTATTTGACCAATAATTACATGAAAATAGAATGTCAATAGCAATGAGAATGTAGCATTCAATTTTAAAATGAAGCAATTATTTAATTATGCATCCTGTCAAATCACTTAAGTATTATGAAAATTGATTTTATAGCTACAACAATATTTAGTACAGTATATAAATCTTTGTTTTATTTATTTATTTATTTTTGCTTGCAAAACATCTGTACTAATTTTAATAGAATAAACTTATGAGGAGAAATAATTTCATCTGGTAAAAATATATATATCTACTACTCTATATCTACTACCTCAGCTGAAATATTGAAAATTATGTTTAAAAATTAATTATTGTATAATTGCAGATTAAAGGAAACATCTAAAAGAAGTAGTAAACAGGAAAAATTCGCCCAATGTGAGACAATTTAACTTGGTAACTTTTCAGTTTGAGTTTGTTTTCTCATCTCTTCCTGCTTTAGGAATTTCTGCCATTTTCCTTGTAGGAGAGAGAAATGCTTTTATTGTAATGTTCTATACTAATTCAGCTTAAGTATAAATGATGCCAATAAAGTATTGGGTTAAATAACTACAGTATATAAATACCATAATCACTTTTTTTTTTTTGGTTACCTGATTTGGGGTTGGGGATCAGGGGTGATGTTTTGTGATAGCCATTTTGTGAATGAGATAGATAGTACCAAGTTAACTATTAAAAACAACTGGATCTCCAAATTCCAAATGGGACTTGGCATAATGCTCCTATTTAAACATCAATATACAATTTTAAAAAATGATTTAATTAAATATAAAGAATGTATTATTGATATGTTTAATTTATTGGTATATTTAATTGATATTTTACATATATTAGATGTTTTCCTTTCCAGCATCAAGAATTATTCCTTGCAAAAACTAAAAATGCAGGCAATAAAGTGACCAAGCAGTCTTCATAACAGGAAAAAAATGCATGTTTTTGAACTTTCCAAATATCTTGTCCTTCTGCACTAATATGATGGGTCTTCCAGAGCAACAGACCCTTCACAAATGATTTTGAAGAATGGCCTAGAAGTTGAACAAGCATAATTTAAAGTTGATATGATTTTTAAATAGCTAGACTTCTTTTTTCAGCTGGTTGTAAAATTCTGACGAAAAAGGAATATCTTAATGAATAGCAGGGAGGTGTGAAGTGTCCCTCAATCCTTTTTGAAGTATACAGTTTTAATGCTTTCTTTTAAGTTAAGGTATTTACAGAAATACCTAAACTTCCATTATTAAATACATTTATAAAGATGACATGCTACTTTGTTTTGTCTATGTGGTGGAGTAAGAAGTTTTTCAAACAGTTAAAGCTAAGAAATCCATTTGTCTGTGGAAAGAATTCTAGCACTCTTGATGGTCCTTAATAATGGAATTAAAGGTGTTCTGGTGTAAACTTGTCTTTACTCTCTTTTCTCTTTGTCTTCGATTGCAGAACCAAACTCTCACCACTTCCTTTTCCAAATTAAGCCCTTCTGCCATCCTCATGATCTCCTGAGATGAAGGCTTGCTTTGTTCTGCAAAATGGCTTTCCAAGGCTTCTTTTGCGGCAATACTGAAAAGAAAAATACCACATTGCAGTCATATTCCTAACAGCTGTTTTCAGTACGCAGCTTAAATGTAATCAGTATCTCAGTGTTGCAAACAATGTGAAATCATATGTACATTTTATATGCTGAGGTACAATACAGGCTTCTGGGAAAGGACAGTTCCATGTTCACTCCAATCAGTGCATAAAGTAGCATAAAAAGAGACTAGCAAAACAATTGGTGGAACTCTAATATCCTAGGTCCCAAAAGTAGTTTTTCAAGAAGCAACTGAACTTTTTGGTTTTTCTTTGGAGACATTTCGCTTCTCATCCAAGAAGTTCTCTGAAATCCTATGTTGCCATTGGTTCCCGTACCAGATATTATGCATCAGAGTGGCATTAGATTTAAAATTTACATTCAGTAGAGTTGCAGAAAGTAGCTCAAAAGAATAAAAATTCTAGATAGAGAGATGGAGAGAGCGAGATATATATAGATATATACAGATGAAACTCGAAAAATTAGAATATCATGCAAAAGTTCATTTATTTCAATAATGCAGCTTAAAAGGTGAAACTAATATGAGAAACTCATTACATGCAAAGCAAGATAGTTCAAGCCGAGATTTGTCATAATTGAGATGATTAGGGCTCATGAAAACCCCAAATTCACAATCTCAGAAAATTAGAATATTACATGCAATCAATAAAACAAGGATTGTACATAGAACAATATCAGACCTCTGAAAAGTGTAAGCATGCATATGTACTCAGTACTTGGTTTGGGCCCCTTTTGCAGCAATTACTGCCTCAATGCGGAGTGGCATGGAAGCTATCGGCCTGTGGCACTGCTGAGGTGTTATGGAAGACCAGGATGCTTCAATAGTGGCATTCAGCTCTTCTGCATTGTTCGGTCTCATGTCTCTCATCTTTCTCTTGGCAATGCCCCATAGATTATGAGGTTCAGGTCAGGCAGTTTGTTGGCCAATCAAGCACAATAATCCCACGGTCATTGAACCAGGTTTTGGTGCTTTTGGCAGTGTGGGCAGGTGCCAAGTCCTGCTGGAAAATGAAGTCAGCATCCCCATAAAGTTCATCTGTGGAAGGAAGCATGAAGTGCTCCAAACTCCTGGTAGATGGCTGGGTTGACGCTGGACTTAATGAAGCACAGTGGACCAACACCAGCACATGACATGGCTCCTCAAATCAACATACTGTGGAAACTTCAGACTGGACTTCAAGAGTCTTGCAGTGTGTGCCTCTCCATTCTTCCTCCAGACTGAGTTCTTGGTTTCCAAATGAGATGCAAAAGTTGCTCTCATCAGAAAAGAGGACTTTGGACCACTGAGCAACAGACCAGGTCTGTTTTTCTTTAGCCCAGGCAAGATGCTTCTGACGTTTGTTGTTCAGGAGCGGCTTGACGAGGAATACGACATTTGAAGCCCATGTCCAGGATCCGTCTGTGTGTGGTGGCTCTTGATGCACTGACTCCAGCCTCAGTCCACTCCTTGTGAAAGTCCCCAACACTTTTGAATGGCCTTTTCCTGACAATCCTCTCCAGGCTGCGGTCATCCCTGCTGCTTGTGCACCTTTTTCTTCCACACTTTTCCCTTCCACATAACTTTCTATTAATGTGCTTTGATGCAGCAATTTGGGAACATCCAACTTATTTTGCAATTACCTTTTGAGGCTTTCCCTCCTTATGGAGGGTGTCAATGATGGTTTTCTGCACAACTGTCAGGTCAGCAGTCTTTCCCATGATTGTGCTTCCTACTGAACCAGACTGAGAGATCATTTAAAGGCCCAGGGACCCTTTTCAGGTGTTATGGCTTAATTAGCTGATTAGAGTAGGACACTTTGAGCCTAGAATATTGAACCTTTTCACAATATTCTAATTTTCTGAGATTGTGGATTTGGGGTTTTCATGAGCTGTAAGCCATAATCACGTCTTGAACTATCTTGCTTTGCATGTAATGACTCTATCTCACATATTAGGTTCACCTTTTAAGTTGCATTACTGAAATAAATGAACTTTTGCATGATATTCTAATTTTTCGAGTTTCATCTGTAGATGATTTAGCTAATGTACTTATATTGCTATTGCCAAAATTTAAAGAAGATCTGGCTAATGGGAATTGTAAGCATTATTGGGCATAGCTGAGAGCTATAGGCCTGCTGGTGCCCTGCTCTTGGCTGCTGCTTCACCTTATTGTCAGTTCTTGTTTAGTAGGCCTCAAGGACAACAGTGAGAAGAATCATCTTCATTGGCCTTATGTTCCCCACGCAGTATAAGAAAGAAAAATTACAGGAAGAGAGGAGCCAAGGCTCATGTTATCTCAGTACTTCTAAATGATGTATATTTAGATCATTTTTCTTTGCTGCTGTTCCCTCTACTATTGCTTTGATGTCATTATTGACATATTTTACATTATTGACGAACCTTCCTGGAAATAATGAATATAAACAGTTCCATCTATCTAGGGAATACTAAGGAGCAATGAAAATTAAGACAACATCTCTTGTCTTTTAATCCTATGAACAAATTCTTTTGCTTCCTTTTGTGTCAATTTGGCTCACAAAGACCCTTTTCTGCTTTAATTACTTTAATTAAATGCTTTGATTTGGCTTATAAATGCTATAAAAGATTCTATACAGTAATAACATTTTTATTCTTAGTTTTAACAATTTCAAAAATGCAATATAACTGTAGCCAACAATTCTGATCACAAGAGGGCAGCACAGTACTTCAGTTTTGCTATAAATGCAGTATTCTGTTAAATATTAGTGATACTGATTTTGAAGTTTGAGGTGATCATATAAACTGCACCCATTTTGAGCAGTTTACAATCTCATAAAATTATAAATAATACACAACATTGCAACAATTAATATGGATACAGTAGAAACAACACTTGTGGCTTGTTTTCATTGTTGAAAAGATTCAGTTGTTTAGATTAAAATATGTTTAGTAGTAATAGTTTATAAATTCAAAATAAGAAAAATATGGTAGATAGAGAAGTTAGGATGCCCTCCAATCAGTATTTTGTATTTCAATTTGTATTTTTGTAATTATGGCCAAGTTAATATTTTTCAAATATTTTCTGTAACCATCTTTCCATTTGTTTTTTAAAATTTGTCCCACCTTGCCCAACAGACATTTTCTAGGTCACTAATATTCTTAGGTACCTTCACATGTATTGCATATATGAGATCTCCCAACAGACTTTTAATAATAATCAGATTTAGGAAATAGTTCCACATTCCCTGCCTGCCTGCCTCCTGTGTGCCTACTGAGTAATCCATAGTTGAATTGGAAGTATATTTTGTTTTGTATTGCTGTAAAATCCAACTTCTTTTCAACTTCAATTGTTCATAGTTTTTGTTCATAATTTGCAGAAACTTGTAATATTTATTTTCACAGTTCATAGAATTTGTGTTCATTTAGATATTCATTGAAACCTACAGTTTAATCAGGCATGTCCAAACAGTTCCATACAAGTTGTAGATCATTAGGAGAAAATATAATAGAGAAGCCTAATCATCAAGACAATCCCTATAACTCATGAGGACTGTACATGTGAAGAAGGTGCATTTCTTATTACCTAATGGTGGTTCTGCGTTTTCTTTTCCGTTCATTCATGCCAACTTTTTCATTGTATAGAGCTATACAGTGGAAAAAAATAATTAAAAATAATTAATTTCCAGTAATTGATCACAATGTTGCAAAACATCTTTTGTCACCTGTAGTGTGTTTAATATTTGTTTCTATTTGTATATAAAATATATCCTTGTTTGTGAGAGTGAGAGGTAGATGCAGTAAAGTTTGTTAAAATTCAAACTAAACTATTCTCTTATGACAAACATGCATATTAACTGGCAGGCTGCTATGGTCTTGTATAATAAAAGTTAAATTGTTCAGAATCATTTTGTACATTATGACTAAGAGAACGCATGTGAATAAACCAGGAGCATATGATGTCCATTTACATATATTGGGATAAAGATACATTTTTTGGCATTTGGTCTCTGTTAGCACATTGAATTTGATATGAAACAGTCAAGCTGTGGATGAATCTTTATCTGCTTGGTTTGTTAGAGACTAATCAAGAAGAATGCACCTTGTAACTGCTTGTCAGCCATTTGTCCCATTATTTATGACCCACCAAAAATTGGGGGGCATGTAAAGTGGCTGTAATTCCTCAATGTGTAATGCCACACTAGAGTTAAAGCTAAAAGTCTTCACTTCATTCATGTTATTTCATTTCAAATTCAATGTGGTGGTGTACAGAGGCCAATGCCCCCAAAATCTATTATTGTCCAATATATATGCATCTGATTGTGTATTTGGCCAACAACATTTGTGTAAATCTACATATTCATAGTCTTCTGAGGAAATGCTTCATAATTTACCTTCACGTATGTTATTAGGCAAATAAAAAATGTTGTCTGCATGTATTCTCAAGTTAAAATTGTGTAAACAGTATTACTTATTAAAGTAGCTTTATAATTGCCTGAAGTGATAGAGTTTAGGAACATATTTAGCATTATTGGCTTAAGCTATAGATTGTACTTTACTATTTCTGTCAGGGAGGCTTTGGAAATATTTGATTTTATTTATATGCACTTTTTCCATAAATTTAGTGAACATGTATAGTAAAAAGGAATCACTGTTTCCATAGCATTAATGTATCTCATCCCTATTTACAAGACACACTATACATCAGTGAGAAAGGGCTCTATGTATATAGAGGGCTCTATGTAAATATATGTACATACACAAACACAACATTTGTTATAGTGCAAATATACACTAGCTTAGCTTTCTAAGGTACATGACATTAGACTTGGAAATGGATTGTGAGAATAATCAAGTTCTTCCTTTAAAAAATAAGAGAATCATTGTCTGAAAATAACCATGCTTTTGTATTTTCATTGTTTCACGTACAGTTTTAAACATTTCAGTTTCGAAAGGAAAGAAGTTATTTGGAGCACAGAGAATACCACATTTTTGGCCCTGTCAACAAGTCCTTAAAATAGCTACATTTCTTCCTTAAATTCAGTGGCTGCACTCCACAACTACAGCACTATCCTAAACCTATTGTTCATTTGGTTTAGCAAGTTGCTGATGAGTGCTACTTGTGTATCCATGTGTGTTCAAAACTTTTCAGGTTCAAATTCTTCAAGGACTTGTACAAAACACAAATAATTTTGACAAAAAAAATCTCTGATACCTCCTACTTGTTCTGCTTCCTCCAACCACTTAGTTAATATGGATTTTAGTTTGCAGGCATTCTTGAAACTCAATTGCAAGTTTTCAAACCGGCAAATAGTAGTTTGACTGAATTCAGAGCCATGCACTGCAGCTAGAGCTTCTCCAACATTTGTTTGGGTATAACCTGTCAAAAGAAAATAGGTCTAAAGAATCAAACTAAAATTCCAAGGTCAAAGAAGAGTGGTACTGTAGGTACAGTTATTTCCAAACACTGAATATGATACTTTAGAATAAAAATATATGTTGTCTAGTTGCATGAATCACATACCCAGCTTAATTCTTCTCAACTTGAACTCATTGGCAAATTTCTCCAACTCTCTAATTTCTGGAGAATCCATATCTATCGGTTCATCAAGTGACTTGGCCTTCTTCCGAAATTCCTGCTTAAAATCAGTGGTAGGATCAGCTCCAAGTAGAGATGGATGCATGGAAGTAAAGCTATGACCTAGTGCACATGAACTGGCACTTAGAGCATGCTCAGGGAATTTATACAGGCAAGGAGTGAGACCACCTATTCAGAAACAAAACACATACAGTTTTCTGATTAAAAACCAATTTTAAGGAGATAAAATATTGTATTGGTATTGTTAAGTGTGTATCAATCATTGGTAAAGAATAGGTAACAGCTTACATTGTAAGTGATTTGAATTCAGTCAATTGTTTTTAGAGAACATGTGCCTGAATATTAACAGCAGTGTTACAATGATATCTGTAAAGACACTGAAGATGGAAACAGAAAAAAAAATGTCATTCAAAAGATCTCTGAACTCAGAAAGCTAACCTTAGATTGGGAGCCAACATTGGACAACAGTAACTGATTTTTTTTAAAAAAAGTCCATCTTTATTTATGATGGAAAGAGTATAGTAAAATACTATACAGATGTTGACATCAAAGAAACCTTAGTAGATATTCCATAAGTACAAAGACCTTTAGTAGTAGAACATTAAGATAGATCAGCAATCTGGGTGGAAGTTGGATGATTTCAGGAGTTAATGGATTACTTACAAAAATATGCTAAGCAACAGAAGAAGAATAAAAGTTCCAACCAAGATATTATAGCAAATCTGGAGAATGACATGATAGCCAACAGAAAAATTTAAAAATAGTTCAAATTATTCAATAACTTAATTTTACAAACTTGTACCTTAAAGTTTAGGATCATCTGATTCAGATTATAATCTTTCATAAAAGGGAAACACAAGATGATCAAGCTTGTTTTAGAAGAGACATCATTGCTGATTCACATTGGTTTAATGCGAAATCCAGAAAATATCAAATCAATATCAGCTTCACTGATGTAGAAAAATCCTTGATTGGGTCAACCAAGTTAAGTTATGGAATGTATTTAAGAGAATGGGAATCTCAAAATATTTCATTGTCATCATGGAAACAAGACAAGTCTTTAAAAAAAAATCTCATTCCAAACAGAATGAGGTGAAATGCACTAGCTCTAAGTTGGAAAAGTTAGACAAGGCTGTGTACTCTCTCTATTTATTCAATTTATAAGCTGAGTATATATTAAGGGAGCTGGACTAAAAGAAGATGAACATGTTGACCAATGCTGAGCTTCAATGTTTAGTGACCATGGTCTAGACAAAAGATTTCTTGATGTTTTGCCAACAATTGTAGCTGACATTTTCAGACACAGGGTGGTTCTGCTATGCACATCACAAGCAACTGATCAGGGATTGATTAGAGTCCTGTCTTTATATCCAAATATCCTAACTTCTCATTGATTTTTTAGAGAAGTCAGATCTGTAGACATGAACTGTCCACTAAACACTGAAGCCCAGCACTGCCCAACAGATAAAACCATGAAAGCCAAGATCAGTGTAAGGATCAGCATGGTTTTAAAATTTGAGAAAGAAACATAAGTAACCTGCACTGTATCTACAGTAATATTCTGATAATGCAAATGATATGAAAGTTTTACTAATGAAAATCAAAGAACATAGTGAAACAATGGGAATAAGATTAAGTACAAAAAGTATAAATATAAAACATATTTACGATGAAAACATTTAATTGCAACTGTACATTTTGGCAATACAGAACATATATTAAATATAAAATCTAACAAATATAAAATTAATGCCAATAAATGTGGCAATTAGTCTTAGAATTGAAAATGAAGATTATGAAATAGCAGATTATTTCTGCCTAGGTACACTACTCAAAAAGATCAACCGTTAAAAATACAAGCCAAGTCAGTCAAAAAAATATGCTGTAGACCAGCACTTGATAAGGTAGCAATAAAGTTTTTGAAAGATATTTAGATCCATTCATTTATTTAGAGAATTTATATAGCTGCCAACTCACTTTCAATAACTTTATACAGTTTATTAAAAAAAACAAATATAAAAAGAGTAAAACCAATGAACCCACACCCCACCCTTTGCAACAACAAGCAATCAAACAAGCCTCTATCCCACTCTGGATTCTCCCATCCACTCTTCATGATGTGTTTATCGATAGAAATATCTCTATCATAGAATGATAGAAATATCTCTATCATTTAGGCAACTATTTTCTCTGTGATATTGTAGGAAAGTGAAGGTGAAATGCTTTTGAAGAAGCTGGATGAAAAGCATATTGACTTTTGAATATTAGTATTGGAGAACTCCCTTGAAAATACCGCAGGTGGCTAACAACAACAATAACTGAATCATAGAACAAATCAATCAAATGTTCTTATTTGAGGCACAAATGATCACATTGAAAATATCATATTTTCATCTCTTTATGAAAAGGATCTACCTTTATTGAAAAGTTTATAAGGCTGAAAAAAGTAAAAGTAAATACAAGAAGGGAGCAAGAAGCAGCAAGGTTGATGGACATGGCTAAGTATAAAGAAGAAAACTACAAACCACATAGAAAACTATAGACCAATAAGAAATCAATACCTGGGAAAATTAGAAAGAATTGGCAAGGAACGAGTTTGCAAGCACTTAAGAAGAATCACAGTGATTTCTAGAAGCCAGTGTGGTTATATTAAAATATGTATCATGACAGACAAATCTTACTGTTTTTAGCCAACATATTACTAGACTAAGGGAATGGTATGGAATAGATAATCCACCAGCCACATAGATTCATAGTAGATTGAACAAGTATGCCCGATGTATGGTCCTTAATGGATCTATGACTACGTGGAAGAAGGAACGCATGAGAGTATTTGAAAGTACTGTCCTTGGTACAGTGTTCTTCACTATTTTTATAAATGACTTAAGGATCTAGAAATACACTGAGAAAATTTGTAAATAATAGATAAATGAGAGATATTATCACACTGTAGGATCGTGTTTCAAAAAATCTTGATATGTTGTATGTATCTAGCAAAATTCTGTTCAATTGTGATAAATGTAAGGTGTCATTTTGTAGGAAAACCAGATGCGCACGTACAAGGTAGATAGAATCTGCCTCTATAGAGCACAGAGATTAAACATAAGACAGCAGTGGCTGCGGCTGCAAAAGAGACAATGACAGCCTTTCAAGAGCACAAAAAGAAAATACTTAGTTTAAATAAGAGATGGTTAAGAGGAACTTCACTGGGGAGGAAAGGGAGACTTGCCTTGTAAAGTCCCAACTCCATTCACAACATTGGGATGGGACATGCTGCAGGTCTGCAAAATACGGCTTTGAGAGAGGCTTGCTGCCAGCACATCTGGAGCAGTAGGCTTGATACCTATTAGAGATGGACGGGAGGGAGAGGACACTGCAAGAATATCAATTGAGAGATAAAGAATTCCACCTTAGTTTTAGCCAATAATAACATTAATAAATAAGAACCATTCCCACAAAATGTTCTTTTTTTAAAAAAATGCATTGTATCATATTCATCCAGTGTTGTTTGTTTTGTAGATAAATTTTAAGAAAAGGGGAAGCTAATGAAAGTTAGGGAATTAGATGCTTGTATGGACAAATGCTTGCCATCCTGACCTATATGCAGCAATTTCCAAGAACCATCTTGTAGTTTCTTTCATCTCCTCCAGGTGAACTGGGTTTCTCCTCTTTTCCCCACTTCTCTTGATATAGACAGCAGGAAAAATGACAGAGGAGAAAAGCACCAGAAAATGGATAACTGATAGCAAAAGATCAACTGGTCTTCTGCTCGCAGTAATTGTCAACAAAGGAGTTTTCCATTCCACCTGTCATTTCCCCTGTGGTTCTTAGAAATCCTTGAGCCAGCATATTTTGTGGCACTTAGTCCACTTGACAACACTACTTTTGTGCTGTAGTGAGGAAGAACCTGTACTTTGTTTAAATATTATAAATGTATCCTATATAACTGATACCAATAAGTCATGATCTTTTTTTATAGTCTGAATCAGGAAGTATCTCAACTGACTTGATATATCCAAAGACAAGATTTATATGCATGCTGCTTGACATAGGTATTGAAAATATTCTCACCCAAATCTACCTGTAATTTCCAGTTCATATCTTTCTACAGATTTTACATTCCAATCATCTGTCCCAAAGGTGCTTTGTCAAAAGGCAACTGGACTTTCTTTGTTTTTCCTTGAAGGCATTTTGCTTCTTATCCAGGAAGCTTCTTCAGTTCTGGCCGAATGGTGGAAAAAGTCATCTGGCTGTTATCACTCTGATGACCAAGTTGACTGCAAGGAATATAAATTCTTCCATTCTTCACCATTCGGCCAGAACTGAAGAAGCTTCTTGGACAAAAAGAAAAATGCCTTCAAAGAAAAACAAAGTCCAGTTACATTTGGGACAACCATCTGGAGAGAATCTGCATAGACATTCCAGTCACCTATAAATAATGCTATGTGTTTGGTTTTTGTTTTGTTCTTTATTTAGAACCTCTTGCAGTTTTCCACTGAATATTTATCTGGAAGTTTTTTTCTTTTTGTTTTTAATCGATACCAAGATTCTTTTTAGGAAGTTTAATTATTTAGCATGGAGAATTGCCATGATAAGTAATGTAGGTGAATGATGAGAACAACTATGAACTGTTCTACAAAAGATTTACATCAGTATTTTACAACTCTGGCCAATTTAAGGCATGTGGAATTCAATGGTGGTTGGGTCTTAAAGTTGCCAAGGTTGAAAAACACTGGTCTACATAGTGTTCTAATTGCAACATAAATAGTCTAGTGAAATTGGAGTGAAACTGTCTCTCACTCTTTTCCATAGTTCCCTTTTCTTTTGTTGATATTTTTTCTTAAAGATAAATAAATGAAATAAATGAATTAAAGCAGTGTGTAATATTCCTTGGCACAAGTCAAAGGAAGTAGCAGTAACTGTGCTGCAATTTTAAACCAAGCCAGGCCTAGTTAGTATGTGGATGAGAGTCGTCTGAAGAAAAGCCAATCTATTATCTAGAATGTGAATTTGAAGAAAAAAGAAAACCACTCCTGAAATGAAGGCATTTCTGACACACTGTCAAGAAAGGTACATAAATAAATTAAGAAGTTATTTGGAATTCAGTTTCAGCTTAAAGGGAAATTTAATTCTATATTAATGACACAAGACCAAAGAAAGGCCTTTATCAAGATACTTCTCATGGATCAGACCTCCTTATGTAAGCATTTACAAATCCTTAAGCAGAGAAAATCCAAATGATTGATTGGTCTTACATTTATTATACATAACAGCCATGCTTTCTATACATGCTAATACTTTGTGATAACACAATGACAATATTAGCCAGCGGACCAAAACATAATTCCAAGTAGCCATGATTATGAGTTTTTTAGGCTTTTAGATTGGCACTCATTTTGGCATTAGGTTTTTGTAATTGCCACAGGTAAGCTATAGTTTCAATTAACCAATTACATGAATTGTCTTTATTATTCCCACAGACTCAAAATGCAATAGATTTTGTTTGAGAAAGTATTTCTTACCTGCCATCATCCCATACGCAGTTTGTTGGTTTCCATAATGACAAGAAGGAACAGAATAATGCAGACCTGGAGGCATAGTTCCCACAATAGCCATGGAAAAACATATACGGGCATATTTAAGCGTTGGGTTCAAAAACAAATAGATGAGACCAGTAAGAACATGCACATGAATTCATAAAATATAATCTCTATCAAAATATATGAAAATTATCTTTTGCATTTGTCAGGAGCTGAACTCACTGAATATTTTAAGAATACAATGCAGCAATTTAGTAATCCAATTTAATGACTACGGACCTAGTTTTCATTCCATTTTCTCTGGCCGGTAAGTTATAGGCTGAAACATGGAATAAACTGTGCAGTTGGTTAAACATTTAGTACATATTAAATTATGTATATTTCCATTCATGTCATATATTTAGGTATCAATTTATTAAACTAATTTCCGCAAGACTTTTATAAAAAAAAGTTACCTAAACAGTACTATGATTATTTCAGAATGGTTGAATAACCAGCAAATAATTTTAATAAAGTATTACAATTATTACTATTGTTATTCAGTATACTTAAACATTTTTTAAAACAACCCCTTAGTTTTCAAATATAACATAAAATAAGTATTTGACTGCATTACAAAGAGAAATATCATGACAGCTGTACTTAGTTTTCTGTTATTAACTTTTGAAGTCTGCTTCAAATTCTGTAACATGCTCCTCTAAAATTATATTTAAATTGTTCTATTATTTTATCTGTAAAACACTTTGAAAGAATCATACTCTGAAATGTAGGAAAACATGAAATAAAATCTTTGAAAGTATGTATATCTCATATAGAAAGAAGAAAGAGATCAACTGAATAATTGCCCATACCCTCTTTGTCTTGAAGATCTTTTTTGCAAATAGGATAAGTATACCTGTATGGAACTCTCTGAGCAATTTGTATCATATAAAATGAAGGGCTGGATTACATGTTTCAGTGTAAATACATTGTTTTCTTTATAAATGACATCTTGAATGGATAAAGATTAGGAATGGTCAAGATGAGTATAAGTCTATTCTTTCATTAACATATGTCAATTGTATAATGAATGACATGTTATTTGATTATGTCAGAGTCATGGCCTTTGCCTGCTAGTTTTACCTTCATTTCTTATTACTTATTTTGAGATCTTCATTACTTATTTTGAGCAACAAAAATTCTAGGAATCATTTCAGATTATGTATTGAAGTGTGATAATATTGCACATCTAAGACAGGTCAGCACTGTGAGCTGTAACTTTAATATAATGCAAAACAAAATACATAAAATATTACCTGTTGTGTTAAGAATTAACTGGGCTAATGTCTTCTTGATTATGTTATTTATACTTTTTATGCAAAAAAAATGATGATACTATTACATTTTATTTTAAACCAACATTCCTACTTAAAAGCATCCATGCAAATCTGCAAACAAACATGAACAGTTTAAGGCTAATGCTTTTCTGGGAACTTCAAAAAGTAAATTTAAGGAATTTGTAGATATTGCATTATTTAAAAGAAGGCTGCATATGATAACTTGCAAGCCACCAATTGAAAACAAACCATTCTGTGGTAGGATACTCTTGACCTTAATTGTTACATATATGAAGCAGATTTTAAATAATTAAAATAGAAATAAATTATACTCCTGAAAAAGCTGAATAAATCAAAATCTCCACATAATGTTTTATTAGCTTTTTCATTTCTTTTGAATTCAAAATGAGATTTCTGCTATAACTACAAGGTAGAACATAAAGTTTAAAAAGTATAGCATAATATATCTTCAGGATTGTCTGCTTTGTAAGCCTTCCAACTACCATGCCATTAAAAGCTAGAAATATAGGAATCAAACCCAATGTTCCAGGAGATTGCATTTACTTTTTTCTTCATAAGGAAAGAAGAAGCTTATTTTTCCTAGGAATAGTGACTTTCAGGCATCATTAAAATAATTTGGGGGGGGGGGGAGTTATAAGATAAGGAAAGCATTTATCAGTGACATTTCATTGGGTTGATTTTTTTTTATTTGCAGGAAAAACTGACTGCACTGCTTTAAAATGTTAGTTGGCACAATAGCCAAGGTAGTGGTGTACAGCTTTTCTCATACATCTCTTGTTCAGAAGTGCAGTTGTTTATATATAGAAACCTTTGTCTTTTGTCAGAACACATTCTTGTCTAGGAAGAATCACTGGGCTACAACTTAGAGTTCCGATAATTAGTTCATGATTATCATTATTACAGCAGATTTATGGCATTGATTAATCTTTTCCACACTGTCACCCTCCATTTGTTCTTGAATCACAATTTTGGCCAAAAAGAGTTTGGCCATTTGGACATGAAATGAAACTGCACTAAATCTAGACCATTATGCTCAGGCCTTCTAACCAGTCTTTATTGATTAAAATTACAGAAAGTATCAGAATGTCTAAGATGATACTACTGGTCATTGAGGTAAAGATGACTATCCACCTGCATATTACATAATAGGACACCTATACCAATGAATACTATAAGTAATTATCCTGGACTGATCATTTAAAAGAGGAGAAAAAGAGAGAGTGAGAGAGAGAGAGGAAGGAAAGTGAGCATACAAAACAGCTTTTAAAGTTGTTATTGTTTTTCTGGTGCATATTCTTATGTTGTTCTACAGGATACAACTGTGTAACAGATTATATGTCAAACTATGTCAATGTGTTAAAATGTTAATTCAGCAAAATGCCAAAGTAATGAAACAAATCAAATACTGAGTTTCTTTTTAATAGAGATGGCTATTGATTTGCTTCCAAGCTCAGTGCAGAGTTGTGATTTAACATTTGATCATATCAGAGTTCTGATCAAAATGATACCACCACTACTGAAAACTTCAGTTCCTGCAGAAATCATTATAGGATACTTATCTACTTGTTATTTTTGTGTTAAATAGCTTAAATCGTTTATTTACATTAATGAAATGGTTAATTAAGACAGTTTCCATTCATTCATTTCTTCACTCTGATCATGAACTTCTTTGCATGGAGTATTAGATATTCAATGGAGTATTAGATATTCATTGTTTTGAGTTATGTATGTATAACAATGAAAACACATCTTTAAAAATCTTTTTTTCCCATGGATGTACGTTTGAAAACACCATTCAAAGTGCCTAAAATATCTTGCTATCAATCGAGGTACAAAGCAAGAAAATTATCTATATATTATTTTTTTCAATGACACGATTAAAACAGTACTAAAGAAAACAAAGCTATGGTCTATATATGCTTACTTGGACTTCTGACTCTTTGAATTGGGATTTATTAAGTAAACAAGCAAGCATTCAGAAGTAAAGCTATTATTTAATAAAATAAAATACAAGTTCAGTTAAAATCTTCCAGCAAGAAAATATTTATATTCCTTTTCCAAGAATTATATGTACATCTATTTATGAATCAATATGAATCAGTATTTCACTAATGAACACTGTAGCAGGATCTTCAGGTTAGCATCATATGAAATATTGATTAACAATTTTTCCAAGTTCTCAGATTCAATTAAGAATTTCCAAATGTGTAGTTCCATTCAACTAGAAGCAGAATATTTCTTTAGGTACAACTATCAGTTGCCAGATTAAATTGATGTGAGATATTCTATAAAATATATTAAAAACATTATCAAGTCTGTTATTCCTTTTGAAGAATCAGTAGAAGATATTAACTAAAAATTTTCTGAATACATGTATAGAATGCAAAGCTACAAAATTTTGTACATACTTTCATTGTTTAATAACTTAAAGGTTGTTCTAGAGATAATTACAAGCTTTTATTACTTTAAAGTATTCATCAAGTTTTATTTTTTATCATGCTTGTAATTACATGGACAATGATAGAGGGTCAGCAATGGAAAAACTATTTTTTAAAACAAATCATAAGGCAGGATAGAAAGGAATAAAAAGTGATTTTTTTTCATTGCATTGCAATTAAATTACAGTCTTTCATAAAGAAATTCAATATTTTTACATGAACAGCGTTATTGTTTGCTTTCTTCACCAATGAATTTTTATAATATTAATAGCATTCTATATTTCATGGATTGAATTAATTCCAACTACTTGTGAAAGAAGCATAATGAAAATCAGATGGAAGTGCAAAGTCATTTCATATCACCTGAAATAAACCAATTTTGCATAATTAGCATCAAAATGGATTACCTCAGGATTAAAGCACTGATAGATACCTATCATTCATTTAAGTCATTGCCTGTCATTTCATAAAATGTAAAGTTTCTATTTTTTCCATTCTGTGCCAGAAGTTTTTAAATGGAAATAAAGCAAAAAGTTTATATTATTTTAAATGAATTCAAATCATTAAATATTGAGTAGAATGACATTGATTTGTGGTCAAATATTGATTACAAGATTAGCCTCAGAGCAATGTGAAAGCAACGTGGTAATTAAAAGACACCATAAACTAATTAAATGCTGGTTTTGCTTGAAGAATTTCTTAAATTATTTGTTATAGCATAGCAAAAATGCTAAACTGAAGCCAGTAAAATGACACACTGATAAAAGTAGCATTTTTATAATAAGAGAAACAGTACCTGTAGACACCACATTAGTGGCATGATTGGAGACGGGCAAGCACTCTGCAGCACTATGATGCATTATCAGAGGCAGAGTGGGAGACGAGTCAGAAGTCAAGGGGATGAAGGTGTCAGCTGAAGAAAAGACTTGACAACTCATTCCCACCAAAAATAAGCAAAAAACAAGCAAATAGAATGAGAGTGAAAGAGAGGAATGAAGGTATGCCTTGCCTTGCTTTTCTCTCAAGACTATCCTATACAGTTCACAGCAACTCAAATTCAGTTGGCCAACTTCATTACTTGCATATATACATAACGTGGGTTATGGTGCACTGCGAGTTGTGTGCAGGCATTTATACCACCAGGAAATCCTTTTATCCATGTTAATGGGCTTTGCTAGGCTGTGTTGCTTAATCACTGTGGAAACTCCTTCTTTCCCACCCAAAAGCAACAGATACCCAATTAATGAGGGGAAACAAGAGAGCTAGTTTTTCAAATTCTTTCAAGCTAGCTTTTGTGAAGGAACAATATTGGATAAAGCTATATGAGGGAGTCATTTTACCCCCAGTTTCTGCTCGTGAGGGGGAGAAAAGCTTCTCAGCGTTATCTTATGAACACCTGTCTAGGTTTTCCCCATCCCCAGTAAATATTGAGAAATTAAAATGTTATACATGATATTAAATTCTAGACTGCAGCGATCTGATTTATTTCTTTACATCTGGATAATATAACTATGAATAATTAATTGAAAGAATATTAAATATATTTTAGAGTCTGGGAAAACCAGGTTGGATATATTGTTTTATGAATCAGTGTATATTATTTTAGGACACAGGAAAACATCAGTTTGCTCAGTTCTGTCAACTTATACAGTTCACTGTTTTAGAAATGCCAAAATCCCAACCTCAGAAAATCTCAAAAGAAGTACGCTGAGGACAGACAGGGCAGAATGAGGAGAAATGAAGATAATTTAGATCCAATTCATTCAATTCTAAAATAACAGTCCAATCCATGGTCCAAGATTAGACTATCTAATTTGCTAGAATACATTTTTTTCTTCAACTTGCCCATGGGATACCCAGATGGTGGAGTGTTTAGACTACAACATCAGAGTTGGAATGGATTTGGACCAATCTCTCTATCATTATAACTACCTGGTTGATGAAGAAGTTTGGAATTATGTTTGTATATTTATCTAATGCATGAAATTTTAACTCTGTTGCCTTTACTCCTTATTTCACATATTATCATCATTGAAATCATCATCACATGATTATGGCAGGAACAGAATTGGAAGAATAGTATTGTGAATGATACTAGGCAGAAAGAATCTAACAACCAAGCAAGCAGTCAGAAGGATTTTGTTTTCTTTTAAATAAACATTGCTCTTGATCCCTCTCTCTCTAGTGGCAAAAGTTGAGGCTTTTCAAATCACTGTACCTTTGGAATGCTCCAACTCAAGGGCAAAATTGCTGCATTGATATCAGCTGTTCTCTTCATCTATTTTTTAATGTGCACTTAATTTCATCTAATAACGTTGTGTCTTGGGCAGGGTATTATCACAGAGCAAAAGTTCTGCCTGTAAAAGAACTATACTTGCAAACAAAGGGAAGAAATATATTTATATATCCCATGGTGATGCAAATAATATTGTTGATGGTTCCCACTTCTTATCAGCTTCATCTCCAGTCATGGACGAAGAGACATAAGCAATCCTATATTATCTAGAATCTGTTCCAGAAACCATAATATCTTTCTCCTTTCCCCCTTCTTTATTTTCAAGAAAAAAAGAGATTCATGCTGAACAGGCCTTGTGAAATGTTACAAAGACTTGTCATTAGAAAGATATACTTTAATGCTGGTTTCAAAGAGCTAGTAAAAAATCTAGGACATTGTTTATCTATTGATTGATTGATTGATTGATGTATAGTATCCTTTAATTAGGAGCTCTGGGTCCTTGAATTCTTTATTTTCTTTTTCTGTGAGGAAGGTTAGGCTGAGAATGGAGAAATACATAATAATTATAGCAGAAATGGACAAAACCAGGTCTGAAGATGGGACATTAGATGTAAATGCAAGCATATTATTATTTGTGTGGGGTGGGATGAAAAGAGATAAAAGCAGAATTCTGGAAACCTTTTATGGAGACGAGCATCATAGCCATCTAGAAAATGAATAGGGGACTTCCGGTTTATCGGCTTCGGCAGCGGCAGGGATTCGCGATACTGCGCGATCCCTGCGGTGCTAGCCGTCTTGGTGCCTCCGATCTGGACGGGTTTGGAGGCTGGGGCTGCCCCGTAGAGGCAGCCGAAGACAGGGGGATCCGGAGAGGGGCTTGGGGGTGTTGCAGACCCCCTGCCCAGCCGGCAAAACCCCCTTTTCTCAAGACGGTGGAGCGGCGGTCTGTAATGGCCGCCACAAAGAAGACGGCAGCTGGGTAAGACTGTGCAGGAGGAAGAGGGAGAAAGTTTGTGAAGAGAAAGTTTTTCTTGGCTGACCCAGGACTTTAAGACGTACCTAACATCCTGAAAGCTATGATTTTTTGAATGATATTTTGTTTCCAGAGGAGAATTTCAAGCGGCAAATTCGAGGTGCTGAAAAGGAAAGTTTACTCTCCTTCCCTATGGAATCAACAAATGGATATTGAGAAACCTGTCTTTTTATAGAAGGTAAAAATTTGGCTTCTTATGATAAGTGGGAAGGGAGAGGACAAAAAAAAAATATTGAGATCTTGTTGGAGGAGATGCCTTGAAGATTTTGAGACTAGAAATCAATTGCAACAAGGCTTTAAAATACAGATTGGGCTTTTCTTTTCTTTTTATTGATATTACCCCAGGAAGAGAAAGTGAGAACTTTGTGCTTTGCTTGGATTGATTGATGACTCTGGGACTTTGGGACTGTTCTAACTTTTGAAACATCTTGGTTGTTTTAAGAAAAGGAAAAAAAAAAGAAAAGATTTACAATGGCTTTACCTGTTGATGAACTTAGAAAGGAATATGGAAAAATAAAGAAAGAAGGCAAGGACGCTGTGAAAGAAGCCTTTCATTTTTTAGAAATGGCGCTTGCTATTTATCAGCAAACACAACAACAGATGGAGAAAGAAGAAGAAGAAGAAGAAGAAGAAGAAGAAGAAGAAGAAGAAGAAGAAGAAGAAGAAGAAGAAGAAGAAGAAGAAGAAGAAGAAGAAGAAGAAGAAGACGCCATCTTTAATGAATCCAAACATTTAATTAAGAAAGAAAGAAGAAAGAGAGGAAGGAAAATGAAGGACTTAAGACTTAAAAAAACACCCAAGAAAGAGAAAAATAAGATGCAAAATCAATACAATGTTGGAAAGCAAAAGAAAAAAGGAATACAACAGAGAGGGGAAGCTAACAAGGCAGAGGTTAGGAGGGGGGGGTAAAAAGGTCAGGTGGGATAAGAAAGGAAGGGAAAAGGGGGAAAAAAGCCACAAAGGTTTGAAACAAGATGGGAAAAAAGGAATTTTTTTTAGGGACAAAGGGTAATGTATAATTTCTTTAAAAAAGAAGATTCTGCAAGGTACATAAGATGGTATTGTAGTATTTGTATTAGAAATAAAAAACTAGAATGTTATAAGAATTAATAAAAGATTAAAATATTGAAATGTTTAGTAATGATAGACTTTAAAATTTAATAAAATATTAAAGGGAATGTTTAGAATATTGAGTTTAATTAAAGAGTTTAATTGACTATTGTGTTGATGTTATTATAAACTTATTACTGTAGCATTTGTTTTTGAAATAGATAATTGGAATGTTACAAGATTCAATATTTAGATTTATTATTTAATTATGTATTTAATTATTTTGGATTTATTATTATTTTTTCTTTTTAAAAAGTTAGTAGGTAGAATGTACTAAGCAGAATCAGATTGGGTACTAGGCGTTATTTTAAATGTTAATTTAGGGGGACGATAGAAAGGCATCATACTCTGATTAGTGATTCCAGGAGAAATTCTTTTTTTTTTTTTACTATAGGGAATGAGATAAATGGATAATTTGGGAATGGTCAAAAGATACAAGCACAATGACTTAAATTAAAATGAATTAAATAAAATAGAATTAAGAAGAGTGAAAAGCGGGGAGAAGCTATATAGAAGATATAGAATGGTAAATAAGATAGGTAATGGTATATAAGATGAGCATGAATTTAATTGAAGTCCATAGAGAGAGAGGTAATCTGGGGCCAAGTTACTTTCTTAAAAGAAGTTTTATGTTTTTGTGTTTTGTGTGTTTATGTCTGTGTGAGAATTAATAAAACCTTGGAGGAATGTTGGATGAGAATAACGGTAACCAAGTCAGAGAGAAATGAAGATGATAACTATAAATTGGATAAATATAGGAAAAAATAATAATAATAATGAAATTGAATAAGAGAAAAGAGAAATAATGAGAAATTTCCTAAGAGATATTTATATGTTCATATGGAAATGGTGTAAAATAGAATTATGTTGTATAAAATAATGTTTTATTCGACTTGTAAAATTTATAATGGAAAGAGGTTTTATGTATTCAATGGTTAATGATGGTTTGTTTGTCTTTAAAATTAATAAAATTTGTTTCAAAAAAAGAAAAGAAAATGAATAGCATATTAAGATGACAATATTCAATTGATAGCCTTGATTAAGTAAAACAATATGAATCACCAGAATAAAATCAAATTTAGATAAGATAACCTTTACTGTCATTTTTCTGCATAAAACAATGGCACGCATCAAAATGAAATTCTGATATCCAGTCTTGAAAGAAAAATGCCAAATGCCACCCACCAAACGTTACCATCCAGAGGAGGAGGAAAAGGAGGAGGAAAAGGATGATGATGATAATAATAATAATAGCACTTATTATTAAAGATTGATAGTTTATTATACACATTCAAAACACTGTAATTAACAGTTTGCCTTATTGGGACAAAAAGAATGATTTTCTCAACAAGTCATATCACAGTCACAGGTACCTTCAGGGTAGGCTAGAAAACTGATAAAAAAGATAGGATTAAAAGATTTTATGGGAAAACACTTTCCCATGTATGAAAAGCAGCGTACATAGCTTTTAAAAATATATAGAAGGTATATTAACTTCTGTTGCCAAGACTTGGTTCATTTGGTTTGGACTATAACCAGGATAATTGTATTATAGTTGA